TTCAGAGATCGTATTTTCCACGTTTACTAATTTTTTTTTCTTCTCCAAATACAACCTTTACCCAACCTAACCATCCTCAATCGCAAAAAAAAAAAATATAGGATAAACCTAACCCACGTTTTTAGCAAATATACGAAATCGGTTTCAACGTTTGATAATGACACTAACTGTTTTGCGCGATCTGTGCCATATGCCGTTTGGGTGCATCAATAAGAAACTTGATGTTTTACACGACATCGTATCCAAGCTAACGACGTAAGTGTTCGTTCACCGTGTATCTGCTCGACGTCTAAACCGCAAAAACTCCTGCACCTGTAATGCCAGGACACGTTTGTCACTGGAAAAAACGGACACGTCCGACCAACAACAAGAGCAAAATACAAATATAAAATATAATATCTATACGATGTACGAGTGGGCAGCGTGTAAACGTCAACGTGTCCGCGGTCAATAGCCGATTGTCATAATAACACGTCTTAGTCGATACGGCTCGTAATTCATACCTATTTTAAATAAATATAAATCGATCTGGACTACATTGCGTGTAGTGTCTGTGTTGTCGGTATCAGAGTTCCGCTGTTATCGGATCTCCGAGTACTGTGATAACAATAACGAAATTACGGGTATTACGATAACGTAGCTGCGTGCATCGTGAACAATGTACGTTTTTAAGATTAATATTTGATATTTTACACATCACCACCTCCTCCCCATGGCAGCTTCCGAGTAACTCTAACTGCAATTCAGACAGGTAGATAGAAGCAGATTTGATGAAAACGATACTCGGTGGAAACAGAAATCAACTTTTTTGGTAGAAACAACTGTCTCCAACTGACTGCTGATCGCTGTACAAGTCCGCGTCGACGCTGCGCGTGTACAGTTGCAGTTGCCGCACGGACACGGGAACTTGGCGGTGGCCAGGACATAATCGATTTCGATAAACCTCCAGAACATTTGTTGCCGCGAAAAACTACGAGTCACAGCTATAGTCGTTGCACCGCTGCACGTGGACGCAGTGTACTCGATTTTTTTTCTCTTTGCCGGCGGATGTGCATTTTTACGTAACTCGCTTTGGCTTTGAAATGCCGATGCCAAAACAGGGACCGTCGTATGACGCGATGATGCGATGATGACTTTAGACCGTTTAATACCCGTGAACGGTTTTACATATTGCATCAAACTGATGTGTCGACATATTATTTTGATCACATCCGATCGGGTGGCAGCTATGATAACGCTGTTTCCGGTCGATGAGCGTACGTCGATTGTTAGCGAAGAAAAAAATCGCTACCACTGAAGAGTATGCGTGTAACGAAAAGCTTTTATGGTCCCCCAAAAAACGTGTGCCTACCTAATCCATGGTGCAGCGTCCGTCACCGATTTGCCGATCTAACATCATCATGGTGGCATGATATCGACGATATAGTCAATCGACATTACGGAACACGGTAACTAAAACGCGCATACTCGATCCTACGTCGAAATATTGTTATCTCACGCAACACTAGGCACTGTTCTGCGAAATCCAGAAAAAAAATTCCCGATTCAGGTCGGTCCTAACGGTTAGGCATTGTTAAAAAGTCTAACCGGAATGCGATGTATCATTGCACGTCACAATGCGCACACAGAACGGAGTAAACGTTATAGTGGCATACGCTATCTATCGCTTGGAACTTGATCGCATGTATCGTAGGATACACGACCATAGGTGTACTTCTAACAAAATCATATCAAAATAAAAAGTAGTCATGCGGTCTGTACTCATTACTAATTTAAAAATTTGTTATGCTCCCTCGGCCACCAAAGTCTGAACATGCCTATATACACGACCGATATCCGGATATCCGATATATAACTGTACGGGAAACATCGCAACGACCGTAAGAACAATAATAACATGTGTAAACGCACGTAATGTCCACGTAGATAGCCGGTGACGGATCGCGGTGCACCGCATGGAGAGATCAGTCGGGTAACCGCGGTTGTCGAAAGTGCACATATTCGACCGCGTTTACACACGGACGATCGTAATAACAGTGGTGACAAACAAAGTGTGACACGAATTAATAATCGACACCAATAATCGGAACATGATATTTATTGGTTTTTTTTCCGTTTGACGTCCGGGCGATCCACTCGTTTCGCATTCGATCTGAATCTCAAACGATACTCGGTGGAAGGAGAATAGTAAAACGTTGCATTTCCAACCATGTTCCCCGAGACCGGAGTCGGTCGTTCCCATTGAAATTCAACGTGCACAAAACGGTTACAATCGTTTAAATGTTTTTCCACGGAAAGGTGTACTTCTTAGTTCGGACGATGGTCGTAAACCATCGAAACAGCTGACCAGATAACCAACACATCAAAGGAACGGTAAAAACGACATTGACCGCCCACTACGGTTTACAGTGTTACGCGATTGCGATATCGTTTTGCGATTATCGCGTCGAATCTCGGCAAAGGACTCTTGTAGCTTCCAATTCACGTAGCGCCCGCCGGTGACTTGATGTGATCACGCAACACGTTCGTATATCTATTCGTCAGACGCCGGAGGGGGGGGATATCTAAAGACAAAACGTATTGGAACATATCGTGTTCTCGTCAAAACCCCGTATTGGGTTCTTCACGAATTGTGATGTCGCGTTTTCGAATGTGAAATAAAAATGCGTGTACAACACGGTCTATGATGACTACAGTTATAGGCGCAACTAGGGGGGTGGGGCAAGATTTAGCCCCCTCATAAATATACCATGTTATACATGGTATACCGCGTAAAGCATACTTAACTCACAATAGTGTCAAATACAAAAAAAAGACACATTCCAGTAAATCCCCAACTTTGCTCAAAATCTAAAACATAGATATTAACATGGTGTATAAGAATAGGGGTAATCTACAGGTTATTTTAAGTTTTGGTAGGAGAGCTTTAGCCCCCTCCAGATTTTTACCTTAATTGCGCCTATGGCTGCAGTACTGGAAACAAAGCGAATCACCACTGAGAAACCACGGAAGTTAGGGAAATCGTAAGACCCTTAATAACGAAACCGTTGATACCGGATTGACGAGCGTCCCAGAGCCGCGCGCATATACTTAGACCCCCAAACTGACTGGACGGTGCAAAAAAGAATAAAATGGCAATTTCACGATAGTCGGCGATGCTTTACTAGTATAGTAATATCCGTGAGTTGGATCGTTATTGATTTTGAAAATAATTCTGTCCGCCACTCATTATCATCGATAATTTCACACTCGTTGTTGATGATAACATCGGTTGCATCTGTTACACTGCGCACCTACACCTGTTATTACGATTACCTGCTGTAAAATTTAAAATACAATATTACATAATTACGCATATCGTCGACTGTCGAAAAACGATTGCGGAAAACACAATACGATACGATCGCCTGTTCAACAACTGCGATTCGAAACGAAAATCTGGGGACGACGAATGCACCCGAATGAATCGGTGTACACGTTGCTTAAGATTTTGCGGCCGATTCGAACGGTTCGCGCACGACATTTCACACGGGTACGATTCGCTTCTATTATTTCGATATGCTACACGTGTGTTCGTGTGTGTGCATACGTGTTACACACGTATTATTTTTTACGGTTCAAATGCGAAATACATCACGGAAATCGTTCGTGCCGAGTACACGCGCCGCCGCCGGTTTACACCTACTTCTTCTGCACGCGCGTTTAAATATTTTATTCAAATGTAGTGGATATCTAGATCACATTTACAATGTCATGGTTTTAAATCGCGAAAACGTTAGTGTGGAAAATACTGCAACAATGCCCGTCGTGTATCACCGCCGAAACGGTACTTCGACGAACACCGAGCGGAAGAAACAATTACTATTCTAATAATGTATATTCAACGTGTGCTTATCGCTATGATTTTTTTTTTTTTTCATTTCTGTTTCCGAAATATTCCGATGCGTATCTGTATGCTTTCTTGAACACGTTATCGGCCACAAGCGATCGGATCAACGTATTGTGTAACTGTTACCGTTCAAACCGGAACGCAGTTATGAGTTACGTATGGTGACGTGAAATTTCGGTTGGCTCTGAGTTGGGTAGGTCGTTAACTTTTAAAAAAAAAAAAAAATTAAAGAAAACGAAAAAAATAATAAAATATTTCCATAAAATAAGATTAGTGCCCATCAGCGCAAATCAACATCAACTTGAACTATTCGACCTCGATAACAATGCAATGGATAGGGGATATACCAATTAATTTGATTATTGATTTATCGACGTCGATATTGTTGTGCATGCGTATACGTGGTTTAGCAGTTATAGTAATTATGTGGCTATCAATAAAACGCGACAAATTTGTAATGCGTCATTTGTTTATTACCTGTTCACAATAAACTCGTATTGTTATTATGTTTGGAATACAATGAAAGCTATTTAAATTCAAAACAACGCATCCATGAACATTTAATTCGGCTTGAAATTTTTTTTTTTTTTTTTTTTTTTATTTACAAGTATAAAACGTATTTTCAACTAGTTGTTCAATCTGTACCGAGCAGAATGTTTCTTATTTTTCGGAAGAACCATGTTCAAAGACTTTTTGATCTTGGGTGAATTCAGCTTTGAAATTTTGAGAAACAACAGTATTGCTATAGGCATCTTTCCGAAATCATTTTAGTTTGGGATTCCACGTTACTGGGAGTATCGTAAAGAAGTCTGTGACTCATTTAAATTAAGTATTATGTCTACCGTTCTGTCGAAAACATGCATCGCACATTTTCTGCTTACGTTCAACTTTATAATACTAATAACGTTTCTTCGTTAAAACCCCTACAGTAACGGGCATACAAAAACGGTACTAATATTTTTGGTATAACGAAAAAAATAATAATATAATATATTTTCGCGCTGTAATGCGTTGTTTTAAGCTTAGCGATAATCCATGTACACCGACGGTGTACGACTGAGGAATAAAAAACGCTTACTTTCTGTAAACAAAATCAATCTTTTTGTCTTACCTGTATCAGTAATAACGTGATCGCCGCGTACTGGCATCTGTAAAAAAAAAAAAAAATAGTAATTATACAAATAAATCAATAATACGTTTGTTTGCTATTTGTGTATAATATGGTACGTGTTTTTTTTTTCTATTTTTTTTTTCGTGACAGTCCCGCCATGGCACGACAAATTTTCCGCAATTTTATTATTAAATATTTTCGCACAAACATGGCGATTTCTTTGACAGCCAGTGCACGACAACGGCTAACGGGCACAGAAACGTGTTCAATGTTAATATACCAGCGGGGGTGGGGTTACACGTCACGTAAACGTCAGCGTCGCGGGTGGCGCGGGCGCCAAGGGTCAAAACGGTACGAACGGGTGCGCGATAACGGTGATTTCGATGCAGTCCGGCGTGTAATACCATAACGATAATGTATTTACACGGGTTTCGGTCTTACACACGGGTGGGCTTAATAATTAATTATAGTTTTCGACGGCCGGAGAGGAATAATAATAATAATAATAATAATCGTTTGCTGCGGAAAACGCGTAAAATGTGTCACGACGTCTTCGCCGTCGCCGCCGTTTACCGGCCATTGTTTACCCGTAACGATATTGTTTCGAAAAATCGTTTTTTAATGTATCCGTTGCTTTCGTCTGCACATTCACGCCCGCAGTGTGACTACTAACGCGTATAATTATTATCACGACCATTATAGTTTCCTACGATTCCTGCGATGCGACAGCTGTAGTGTGCACCGTAATTTTTCTTTCGCACCGTACATTTTCACGAACGGCACATATCGCCCCCGTCCACCCATCCGCCTCGATTCACCGTTGTCGTCGATCTCTCTCACCCGTGTCGCGCGCAAAACGTTGATACGTTAAACACCGTACTTGTACCCGAACGGAAATTTAGGCGCGCGTGAATTTTCCGACGGACTTCACGATCCCATCATCGGACGACCAGACGGTTACGGGGGGGGGGGGGTCCCTTTGAACCCGGTGTCGGCGAACGAATTACGCGTCCGTAAATTGAACACCGCGACGCGATACATCCGAGAGTACGGTCGCGTGAACAAAGGATCGACAGCAGGGTAGAAACGGACTAAATAATTATTATTCAATATCGTTGGGAGTATTATTACCGGGTGTATTAGATTGTAATACGGCGGACCAGTGTCTGCCGAACGGTACACTCGGAACACGATACATGTATAATAATAATATGTAAGTACGTGTACGTGTATATATCGAGAGTTTATGCGGTGACGGCGTCGAGTACGACGTGCCACTAGCCTAACTTTACGGTAACGGTACTGTTCCCGGGCGGCGGCTTCGAGCCATATCGCGCGAGATGCGTACCCAACGAACTGGAAAATAGACAGTTTTCATTGTTGTCGTTATCATTATCATCATCATCATCATCATCATTGCTACTACTACTACTACTACTACTACTACTACTACTACTCCTACACTACCTCTTATGCTACTACTACTGTTACTACACTAAATGTAATATAGGTATTCTATATGTACGGGTTTTTGAAATCGAAAAATTAAACGAGATATCTCGTGTTCAACGTAACCGATAAAAAAAAAAAAAAAAAATAAAATAATAAAAAAAACATTATGGAGGAACTAAAAAATAATTCAGACATTTTTGATCGTTATACCGAACGGGATTTTCATTTTAAAAAGATGAACAAAGTTAAAAATGAGCGAAAAATTGTTAATTTGATATATTCAAACGGAATGAATTATACCGCGTAAGTACGCCGAAAGATTCGGTGTTGGGCATATAACTTCGGTCGATTCCGATAACCGTGCACCGTTCTTCAAGTCTCCCTTATACATCCTTGGTATGTTTTTTTTTTTTTTTACTACCGATCAAGGATATCGATTTGTATTTCTCGCATTCACGACGAAACGTAAAACGAAAATATTTTATCCTCGAACGTTTCCAGACACCGCGATGTACATAACACAGTATTACGTATTACAGTAAACCCGAAACCGTTGATCGTTGTTGTGAAAACAAACAGTTTCGGTTGGCGAGCGGGGAAAAGACGCGCGTACAAATTGCCCGTACCGTCGTTTACGTGAGACCGATATTCTTTTCAAGTCGAAATCAGTACGGCGTATAAATGTATATATGTATACACACGCGGCGTACACGTTTTCTCCCTCACGTTTGTTATTCAATTTTTAAGGAAAAAATAAAAATAACAAACCCGAAATTCGATCCCGGACGCTTTTTCTCATTATTTCGGTGCGCGCAAGCCAATTGCCGAGAACCCCAGAGTGACATTACGTTTTGCCGAAAATGAAACGATTCCGCGCACACGTCCTCCCTCCGTCTACGTATTGCGCGCACGTACGCCAATAACGAAAATCCTACGGGTACAATGCGCGTGTTGTGGTGTTCCCAAAATCGCGCCCTAGATCAGCGCGTATACATATATTCACTATCGTGTACCCCCGCTCGATGGTCACCACCGTTGTTCGTCGCCACCGGACGAGGCCTGACAAATCAGCCATAAAAACAATGGATTTCGCCTCGCCGCCCGGCGATAAGTAGAACGCGCCCGTAGACGAGTTTTTTTCCCTCCCTGCCTCCGGATAAAAGTCATGGCCTACAAAACATCGCGATCTGGCACGCGGAGAAGGTTTTTATGCGGGAAAAAAATAAAACGTAATCATGGAAATCGCTGACGGAAAAATGGGTTCGCAGAGAGTGCGAAACCGAAAAACCGATCGGCCTCGAAACTATCGTTACGCGCAATATGTACGCCGGGCTTTTTTTTTTTCTTATTTTTTTTTTTTTTTTCACCCGTACAATATTTATACGCACGTGTTTTCGGGTACGCGAAATCTTCAATTCCGTCCCGTCGACGAGGTCGGTGAAAATTGCTTGTTACATCAATCGACGTAGTTTCGCCCGACAAGTGTACAACGTATTTTTTTTTTTTTTACAACGATTCGATATCGGGATAACGCGTGTTACGCACGTGTATCTGTCTTAATCTTACACGGCGAACCCGTCAAAATGAAATCAAAACCTTTCACACACCACGGTTTTATCGCATGTAGATTATTGGTTATCCGTAATCGTCCTGTAATTTATTTCGCTGTTTCAAACCCGGTCGAAACGATCACCCGCAGTCCGAATACGTTTCGAACGATAACGAGAATTCCACCGTAAACATTTTCCACGTGGTCATTTTTTTTTTTTTTTTTTACTACTCATGTCTACCAAACGGCGCACCGTCGACGGTAGTTGTTTTCAGTTGACATTTATATTCAATTATTTCAAACGTCCGAGTGTGCCGACGAGGTCTACGAATCGCGCAAGAGATGTTATCGATGATGTACGAAAGAAACGAAAAAAAAAAAATATAACCTCGACAGATTACCTTAACCTAGAAGAGATAATACGCGGTATTTTCAAATCACATTAAAGTATAGTTAGTTAAGCTCTTCGAAACGCGAAACAATAAAATCGTATATAAATAAACGCGGTTAAACAATGGAATGGGAAAAAAATAAAAACGCGAAAATTATCTATAACGTAATTAGAGAGCGAACGCTGCACTCGGGACTAATATCGTTATTCGTTAAGTCGGTTTATGATGTCTTTTGGAACGACGCGCGTGGTGATGTACGTGAGTAACACGACTATCCGCACAGATCCGAGACCACCTATTTCTGCGGACCCGTCCAACGGTTCGGGCACCGGTGTCGTACGTTTCTGGCCACGATCTGATTAAATCAGTAAAACCTCTCGAACGGATCCGGCCTTAGAAATATCTTTCTAACGTTGTCGTTTTGCGTGCTGCGCATACTTGCTACGCCGGAGGGACGGAAAAATCGACACGAAGACCGTGGCGATACGAGGTGGTCGTCGCACCGGGAAACGCGTTTCCGTACGATTTTACGACGCGTAGGGCGCTGCGTTTCGCAGTTAATTTTCGACAAAAAAATGCACTTACGGACACGCTACTGTCGCCCACCCGTGCTCCGTACACGATGTCGGCGCACGCTTTCGGTCCGGGTCGTTCGCGCGCACCACCCCCGTCGTTTAAATCGGCCGATCCCGACATCGCGACACACGTATCGTCAGAACGGCCTGTGAGTGTCGCAGGCAACAACATCGCGTTCCGATTCTTAAGCCATTATTTCCCGACGGCCGATTTGTCACCGGTAATCCGGACGATATGACGCGCACGTATTCAGCGCACGCATTACGTTGTCAATTGTTCGCCGTGTGAGAAAATCCGCTGCGGTGATCGGCAAACGCATCTGTTCTACACAATGCGACGCGTTGATATTACTCGTTGTTGTGCACTTGCGACGCGTTTCGCGTGCGATTCCGATTCGTCATAGACATGTCGACCGTAACGTACAAACACGACGGGCACACAAGCAATGTAAACGATAAGGAGCAAAAGGATTCTACGGCGGCCGCCGTGGTGCACAGCTAACCTGTACGATGGCTGCGCGGTAATTTATTCGTTTTTCGTTAGGTTATTTTCCCCTTTCTGTCCTCCTCCTCCCTTCTGCATCACCGTTAATCTGCACGCGATCGGGCCACGATTCCCAGAGCGCATCGTTGTACGTGCATCAGACACGTAATCGTGTGACATGTGTGCAAATTCTATTTCTACTTGTAAATGTCAACGGCGCGATAAACGAGGAGAGAAAAAAAAACATGTCGACTAACCGAAATTCTACGCGCGCGTGCAGAGTTCGCAGACGAGGTATATATGGGTGCAGCGATGTATAGATATATTGTTTCGAACGGTAAAAACGGGGAAAAAAAAAAAATGCGAAAAAAAAATAAAATAAATAGAACTGCAACAGGCAGGTACCGAACAGTGATAGCGCGATATATTCTGGGATATCCGTTCTATGAAAACGACATACCGTGTGTACAACAACGGTTTAATCTCGCAAAACGCTTGTAATGCCGTGAGAACGTGACGCTGCCACGGGCGAAACGGGCTGGAGAATTTTTTTTTTCTTCTCCTTACAAGTTCGGAGGTGCGTGG